CACACACGTGCGTACACATGGTCTCTCTTGGGATTGATAGTCATGTTCATATCATGAGTAAGTGGCACAAGTGATGTGTTCCTCTAGTACTGGACATGGGTCTGATGCTCTGTGCTAAATGACACCACCAGAATTTGGGTTGAGTGGTAGTGTTTGTACGTAGTAGCAGTGAAATGCAGAAACCGCACCCCCCACCCCCTGCTCAGAACAAAGAGAGGTGACCTGCTGAATTGGAACAGGTAGCAGTGAACAGTTCCTAGTCTCCTTATAGCTATAAAGCAGCTGATAAAAAGCAAGGCACATCATCAGAGACATAAAAAACCTCTCCTTTTCTCTCTGGGACAATTCTTGAGTATAATCAGATTATATACACACCGCTGTGATCACAATGAGGCTCCTCAAGGATTCATTCCCTGCTATAGATACGGCAGTATGGAGTAGCTGCCTTGTGTATTCAGAAGAGTTGAGTTACATAAGATACAGACAAGCTTAAGGTTCATCTGTGGTTGGGGAAAGGGGTTTAGAAGGCATTTCTCTCTACCTGTTCTGCATTTACACAGGGCTATGTCCCTCCCCACAGACCATGTCAGGCTGCAGTAACTTTCTGAAATTTAAGTGGTTTGTCTTGACAAATCTCTTAGAGGACTGCATCTTTCTCCTTCCAGCTGCCTTTTTTGCATATAACCTAAGACTCCTTAAGTAGGACATTCTATCAAATGTTCAGTTGACATTTATGCAAATGTCCTCCTCCCAAGGCAAAGGCAGCTGCTTTTCTGGTATCTTCTCGAATACTAGACAAGAGGACAGATAGAACTAGATCCCAGTGAGAGAGACACAGAAACAGTTGGATTAGCGCTTCTCACATGGAAAGGATTTGGGTCAGTGCTGTGTAGCTATCAGGGTAGATCCTCGAACTCTGCAGTACTGGGGGCTCTGTGATGCAGTGGGAAATCCCAAGAGCTCTATTTTAGATGAATGAGTCACTTGGAGCCCTGTTATTGGTGGTGGGAATCCCGACTTGGCAGGAAATTAATCATTATGCAGGCATGTTCCTAAGTGTCCATCTATGATTGAGCCCCTGGTGGGCCCTTCCCCAAGTTTCTGTCACACAAGCCAAAAATAAGCTAAGGAACCATGTTACAAACTATGTGAAAAATGTTCTGGAGAAAGCATTGAGTTTTTCACTCTTAAATTCAAACGGCACCACATTTCTGGTTTAGCTTTGCCCCCTAGCTGAATTCCTTGCTTCAGGGTTTGGGTATCACTGGCATGATCTTTAGAGAGATAAATTAATGGTTGTCTTAGCAATCAGGGGTTCTGGATTTGTTTACATTTTGTAGTCTGTCAAAGCAGAAGACAAAATTGTATTTTGGATCTCACATCTATCCTTTCTTAGTGATCTGACATAATACACATTCAGATGGTCTCCTTGGACTAGAGTTTAGTCTCAGCTATTATTCTCCACATTGAGTGTCTGGAGGAGATACTTCTTTTCCCTACTATGTTCCAGTTGACCAAAATTAACTGGTGCTTCACTCTGAGCAGTGACATCCCATGAGGCATGAGTTGGAGGCATCCGACTGACTTTGGTTTTCCATTGTTCTGACTTAATGGACATACAGTTAATGACTGCTTTTGTTGAACCAGTATGTGAAGGTCCACTATTGTGGATCCCACTGGCATCCTTCTCCAAACACTTACAGAATTGAAAACCAAATAAAAGAGATATTAGACTCACTGCATTTAGGGGAAAAAATGGCATCGGCTCTGTGCTGGATTGAGGATATGAAAATAAGTAAGCTGTGTCCCCACTTTCATAAAGGTCATAGTCTATATGCATTGTGGGTTGAGCCATATAAATAAATTAAACTCAGATCGAAGGAATAAGCTTGAAAATAGAAGTATGGTTAGCTGAGAGGGGGGTTGATTTTGCTGGATGAGGGGAGGCTTGGGGAAGACCAAGAGGTAACCCAGAGGTGGGATTTTAGAAGATAAATAGGGCCTTGACAGACATGTAATATATTGAAGGCACATTTCTGGCAGAGGGAAAACATGAATGATAACATGACTGGAATCTTCAGAGAAATGAGAGCACTCAGATGCATGAACAGCATGAGGTGTCTGGGGAAAAGGTAGAAATGAGAAAGTCAGTGAGAGCAAGATGGTGCAGCCCTCAGTGCCAGTACTCAAAACTGTGAAATTCACCTTCTTCTTCAGGCAATGAGTAGTCATTGTGGGCTTTTCAGTAGGAAAATTATGTGACCATGAGTGCAATTTCTTTTTTTTTTTT